GTACAGAAACCGATATCTATCCGTGTTGACGCTGGAGACGCATAGCAACTTGACGCAGTGGAAGCGTGCAGGGCTCATAACCCTGAAGTCCCTGGATCGAAACCAGGAGTTGCTAACTTTGTTATTTTTCTCCTCCCCTCCAGCACCTTCCAGAGCTTTCTCACATTTGCAGTACTGTTTACTGTTTGTACGACACATATGTAGTCACATCTAGATAGGTACTCTCCATACGTGCACTCGATCTAACTCCTTGTCTTTGGCATACTATTAAACACCGTACACCCTAGCCTACTCACGCATCCTTGGATTCCTTGCCCGGCGTCCATTCGTACATCGGCAAATCCAACAGCACAGTCCTCTTCACCCAGCCCGGTAATGCGCGGTACAACGCTGGCGGCAAAGGAAGTAGTATGGAAGTCTGCGCCCGGTACGCCTGGTAGTTGGCCCATGCCGCTGACTCGGGGCGCGCATCGCCAGCATGCGGCTCAGCCCCGTCTGTCTTGGGGTAGGACATGTTGTAGAACTTCTGGGCAGTGGGCTTCTCCGCGGTGGGCACTCCAGACCCGAACAGAAGGAGGCTGCGGCGAGGGAGGAGGGTCAGACATGAATGGATCGAGGAGCTTGAGAGGCATACATCATGGTGAAGAGCGGTGAGACGAGCGTGCCGAGCTGCGCAGAACGCGCAGAGCCACCGCCGGGTCCATGGATACTGGGTGCAATGGAAAGCGTCCAGATGCCCCACCAACACAGGATTCTGGTGGGCCAACCACGATGTAAGACATTGTGCACCGGCATACCAGCGGGAAGGGTCGAGCAGAGAAACTTACTCGCCGAAATAGGGCGGATGGCGAGACCATGCCCACAATCCAACCTATGTTTAGTCAAGGGTAGAGTGAGAAACGTCCTGTGTCACGGGGGCGGGCGTGGGGCGTTCCGCAGTACCGACGTACGTCGATAGGCTTATCTTTAGGAGGCTTTGATGCTTTGTGGAGATACTGCGCACGGGAGGGGTTAGCGCGGCGTCAGCTCCCGGGCACTCAAGCCAGCACGAAGGAATGGTGGGAAATACGCACCTTCTGCAAATCAGCGACGGACTCGATGGACCAGCCGATCACCCAGAGGATGATTCCGAGAATATCGCTCGCCGTGCCGAAGGCGGGTTGGCCGCGGTCGGTAACGGCAGGAGAGTTCAACACCGTGAGAGGAAGCGAGACGGTCCAGACCTGGTCGGAGGAGCTACTTCAGCTACATTGCACAATAGGACAGGGTAGTAGGTGGCTTACCCATAATATCTGGCCTGTCGGTTCACGCAATTGGAATGACGGTTGAGCATTACAGCATTACAGAAGGCTACTACATCAACGCACCGATCCAAAATCCTGTAGTGGGGAACGTCAAGGCAAGCCCTTCTGTAGTTGTGCATGTCACGCACCTAGGAACTTGAAGAAATGAGACCTGATGTCATCGAAACGAGTATCGCTTCCTGTCTTTAGCACTCGGAAGAGCAAGAAGCCTAACGAGTCGCACCATTCAAAGACTGAACACGATCATTCAGAACGACGACTTTCTCACCAGCGAGTCGTACGGCCCACATCATCACAAACACGCTCGTGATGACATTTCTGGCACTGAACTCTTGGCCTAGCAGGAGCGTTAGGAGGGCTGTAGTTAGACGGCCCGGATGAGCTCGACGGCATGCTATAACCGGTCGAAGGAGCCGTACCTAAGATGAAGAAGTTTGATCCTAATGGAGGTCAATCGGGGCGGGGGCCTGAAGATAGCTGCCTGGCATAGTTTACCTCCAGTGAAGTCTGTGATTTTGTCAAACTACCATATAGTTAGATACTCGCTGCCACGACGAAAGCTGTAAACAAGAGACTACGGTGATCACCTGGAATGTCCACGCAATGGCAAATCCAAGTAGCTGGTACCCCACGGTAACGAGTAGAGTTATCGCTAGGTAGTAACGGTCAAGAACGTTGACTGCCCCAGCCATTGTCAGTATGACGTCCAAGAGCGTGTCTGAAGGCTTTGGTGAGGGCTGTAGACTCAGTGATTCTGCGGTATGGACGCGGTACGAGGACAAGGTGCGACACGTCTGCAGCGGACACCGTGCAGACAAGTCGTCGTTTCAACGCACATATTTGGCAGACGGGGTCAGATCGCAGAAGACGTGGGTTGCGTTGTGACAAGATCGACGATTGGTGCAGCTGAGCATAGCATCAGATCGAGCCGGTCGTGTTGCCTCGATGCCCAGTGAGAGAGGTTGACCGAGATGGCCGGGAACTTGCAGGCGGAGGCCGCTGCTGCGGGGACTGCGGCCGGGAGCTGGCTGGAACTCTTCGGCGTGCCTCCGGTTGCCGTTTCGGCAAGGGAACACGATCGGCCACCTTCGGCCACTGCCTCCGAGGACGCGTCGCGTTGTGTTCGCATGTGATGATTGTGGCTGAGCCTGACGTCAGGGCGTACCCCAGTCTGGAGACTCGCATGATCACCGACAATTTATGTTCCCGGCCTGTTCTACGCCATGCTCGTCTTTCTCATCTCCATCTCTTCCTCCTTCCACCACGTTCCCCGCATTCTCCTGCTTTCGGTCGACGCTCTCTACGACTCCTCCTCCGACCCGCATACACTCTAACGATACCTTGACGACCACACCACGACCACAATGCTACCCAAGAAGCGCTACGCGTATCAGGCAGACATGCCATATGCGCGTGAACCGCTCAAAACCCTCTACGTCTGCCAACGGATATTCACAACTCTCGTGATGGTCGCTTGGTGGGCTGTCTACTACTCTGTCATGCCTCGAAAATATCGCCCTCGACCCTCGTGGTCCGTCAAGTGCTGCATCTCCGTCAACTTCACGCGACGGATATACAAGGTCACAGAACTCGCCGGTGTTACTTGGGGGACTCGGGATCCAGACAAGCCGTGCGACAACCGCAAGCTCAAGTGGACGCGCTTCGAGTGGGTCGAACCCCTTCCGAAGGAGTTGCGCACAGGCGTACTCGCGGACCCCCAGGTGCCGTTCAAACGTGTGGGTTGCTTCATATGGCCCAAGGAACGTCCAAAGAGTGAGTATCTCTATGCAGTTTAATGCCAGAATGCCACGCCTCTGCATTGAGGTTCTGCGCATGGAAACGGCTAGCCCGGTTCCTGCCTTCTCATCAGGATAGACAAGCGGAAAACCATTATCGTAGAAACGCGCTCAACTGACCTAAGACCCTACAGTCATTCCGGCTTGTACAGGTGACGCTACCTCAGGCTCGAACGACGATCTCATGGACGGCGGAGAGTTCGAGGCGGCCGCAGGCGATGTACCTGTTATCGGTATCTTCCTTCATGGGGGAGGTTACTGCCATATGTCGGCTCACGAGAAGGCGCCAACCTCACAGATACCGGAACGGTTGATGAAGGTGTGTTTGTCATGGATGGTTCGTCAGGACATCATGTATTGACTAATTTTCAGGACAAAGTCTTCACCGAAATCCATGCCGTTGAATATCGCTTACTGCAACACGCACCGTTCCCGGCTGCTGTACAGGACGCGGCGGCAGTATATGCGCATATAGTGCATCGTCATCAACGCCGTCATGCTTCGAACAAGGCGAGCTCGTCGCGTGGTGACTCTAGCACCCATTCAGCCGACGAAACCAACAAGAAGGCCCATGAGATGATGGACTATCTTACGGCGGATAGCACGGACTATCAAGCGCAAGTACGCAATAAGAAGGAAAACGACGCAATTCATGCGCACGTCGCGGAGGTAGCGGCGAACACCAATTGCAAGATCATTCTCATCGGAGACAGTGCTGGCGGGAACCTTGTTCTTGCTCTCGCCCGCTGGATTCGTGATGAAGGTGTCCTTCCCCCGCCTGACGGCCTCCTCTTACTTTCGCCATCTTGTGATCCTTGTAAGTTCTCCGCGAGTATCCGCACAAGCTCTTTGCTGACAGCACGATACAGCCCATGCCTTCCCAGAGACTCCTTCGTCATACGTCCCACGCCCCCACGCCGATACCGACTATCTTGTTGATACCCCCGAGCCTCGAGCACTTCTCCAGCGCACCTTCCTCGGCCACAACCCAGTGGAAACCATGCACAGTCCGTACGTCAGCCCAGCGTCCTCCCGCGTGCTACGGGCGTTCTACGGTGATGCCTTCGCCGAGAGTGTAGCGGACCTCACTATCTCCCAGCTCGACGATACCACGCGCGAGTTCTTGCGCAACATGCATTCTGTGCCGGCCACTCCGATACCGGGAACGCCCGTCCTTGGCGGCAACGGGAATGGGAACGGGAAGCCTCGCATTATCACTGGGCCCCCAGAAGCGGTGGGCTACGACCTTGAACGCAGCCCGACGTCCCTCGCGCATCCCGTCCTGGCGTCGCCTCGTGGGCTCAGCCTGTTCACCGAATTTCCGAAGACGTGCGTCGTGCTCGGCGATGCGGAGCGCCTTGAACGCGAGGTGACCCGGCTGGTGGGTGCGATGGAACGTGACGGGGTCGACGTGCACACGATCTGGGTGAAGGACGCGCCGCATGACGTGCTGATGATGGCCTGGTGGGACGAGGGAGTGAGGGACTCGGTCTGGGCGCAGGTCGAGGATTGGGTCAAGCAAGTGTAGATGCTTATGTACGTTTTTGGTTATTCCGGAGGAATTCTGCGTTTTGAGAACACTCACATCTTCACGCTGACTGGTAGAGGGTGGATTGGATCGATACACATTCGATATATGTTTCGGACTGTTGCATTGTAGTTCGCATGCTCTTGTTCTCATTACTATATTCATTTCGCGATATGTGCTTTCTACTTTGCCCAGTACAAGTAACATGTACAGTGACAATGACGCTAGCATATCACAACACATCCAATAACTCGAACATACTGGGTCTGTGTGGTTCGTCGTCGTAGTCATGAAAATCGTTATGGTGGCCGAAGTTCAAGGCTTTCCCAGTTGTAGGTAGTACTTTCCCACAAAAAAGGCGGATACCAACCATGCATTAAGGGGGAATCGAACCCCCGGCGGGTCGAGCTTCAGCTCATCGCATGGCAACGACCCAGGTTACCACTACCCCATTAATGCGGTACAAATGCAGGGCATACTGTTTAATATGTTGTGAGCGCCGATTTTTGTCAACTTTAGCACTTGCTTGAGCTTGAGCAAGAATCTCAATGCGCGCAGCTCACTCGCGAACGTTGCAGACGAGACGAGACGAGACGAGACGAGACACCGAGCAGTCACATTTTATTACAAACTGCACACGCCACAGGAGAGGGAGAGAGAAGGTACAACGAACACCCAACAATAAAGTACAAATAAAATATCCTACGTTTAAGACGGAGTCCGAGTCCGAAGGTTTCTGGTATCTCCTGAGAAGAACAGGCAGGAACTCAACAAGGGCTGAGTTCCGTGGGGCACACGATCACCGTCTTTCGTTCGTGGAGAAGACGACGTCACGTCTACTTCTTTCGGGGCCGCTTGCGCTTTGCGGCGTTTGCGTCCTCCTCGGCGCCGGGCTCTTCATCGTCCCGAGTGCGCTTTCGGGGCCGCAAGACACGCCTATGGACCGCCTCTGGATCGGACGGCCCCGCGCTCGGTGCTGCACCCGGCTGGCTCTGGGGTACTCCGTTGCTCGACACGGAGGGAGCAGCAGAGGACTCTGGCATTGTCGTCGATGTGAGCATGGGCGCAGGCGCCGTCTGGCCTCTTGCCAGTCTTCGGGAACGGCGCGGGGATGTCCTCGGTGGGACAGATGACGATGGCTCCGCGACGCTGAAAGACGGGCATGCGACAGCTTGCGAGCTGACCGATGGCTGGACTGCGGCGTCGTTGGCCTCGCGAGGGCACTCAGAGGGTTGCATCTGGACGGTGGCCGGCAGGTCGACGGAGCTGGGCGACGGAGCAGTCCTCCGTGCCACGGTGCGCCTTGGTCGGGGGAGAGGCAGAGGAGTCGAGGAAACTGCGTTGTTAGGTGGGAGCCAAGAGCGGGCACCCCGGCGGCGTGCGGTCGACGGTGAGCTGGCAGGCGCGGAAGGGCGAGGGTTAAGCCGACGACGGGTAGCGGGTCGTTCTTCGTCAGAGCTCGACGTCGTCGAGCGCTCCGCGTCACTGTCCGAGTCCCGAGTGCGCTTCCTCTGGCGAGACGACCCAGCAGCGGATGGCCCCGCGTTATGTGAGCTCTCCGATGACGTTGGCGGTGCAGGAAGGAGTGCCGGAGGAGCCAATGAAGATTCCAGCGCCGCGGAGGAAGGGCCAAGCTGAGCCAAATCAGAAGAGGAGGCCTCTTCGGATGCGTTGAGGTAGTCCTGATCTTGGTCTTGGTCACTAATGTACCCAATGCTCTCAACGTCCGCTTCCGAGTCGGCCGCATCGTCCGCACGCGCAGGTTCCCTGACACGTTCAACAGGCTCGATGCCGCCTTGCCAGTCGTCGCTCTGTGCCCGCCACAAGCTCGTCTCCAGGATGCGCTCAAAGTGGGGCCGGAGTTCGTACAAAGTCTCGCTGGAGCCGGGGAGCGGGAAGATGTGGTTCAGCGCCTGGAAATACGGCTCGGAGCCCGCGTCGTAGCGTCCCTGAAGCCATTCGAGGACCCGGGTGACAGAAGGAGTCGCACTGCTGGGGCCATCGAGGTCCGCAAGAGTGGGAAGTGGCCCCCAAGCCTCGTTCCAGTACCCTAATACCAATATGCAGTCAGTATCCACCGGAATAAGAAAGCGTGTACAATACGTACTGTTCTCGGGTAGGGCCCGCGGATCTGCACCCCTGAGCTCGCTCGCCGGATTGAGCAACTGGGGGTCCACGCCATCGATCCAAACGGGCTCGCGACGAAGTTGGCCACGGCGTATAATCCGCCGAGTGGCGGCAATACGCGGTTCAGGATGTTCGTGTCCGTTGATAGCACCGTTGAGACGAGATGGAAGGAGGCGGTGTAGGATAGAGCCGCTGGTCCCGGTGGACGAGGACGATCCGTGGCCAAAGTGCGAAGGCGAAGCAGCCGTCGTACGACGGGGCCGGTACGGGGCACCCGGGATCAGGCGCGGCTGGAAAGCCTCAAGCCTCCTGGTAACCGGGGCTGGCATATCCTCCTGCGATGAGGATCCCTGGGTGTCCTCATCGGCGTGGCTGGGTGTGCCGGGCGCATCGTTGCGGGAACCGTCGTCAGAAGAGGAGCCGTATCGTGTCTGATCTTCGTCCGATGTCTGAGCCTCGCCGTGGGTAGCCTCCGTGTCGTCGCTCTCAACCGCGCTGGGTCTGTGGCCGGGATGTTAGATATACTGGCACCGACAAATATCATGGATAGAGCACGCACTCCGATGCCGATGCCGAAGAGACGAAGATGGTGGTAATGCCGGATACGAAGTTGGATACAGACCGTATGCCTCGAGTAAGAAAGCCCAAGGCTAGGAGTGGTCGGTCAGCCGCCACACTCCTTGTGGCTAAGATGCGAGGACATACCTGAGGTGGCGTTTGGGCGATTGACGAGAGAATCGTCTGAGCCTGCGCTTGATGGCGTAGGCATGGTGGTGTTCAGTTGAAGCACTGCGTCGGCTGCGTGTGTTGCAAGGGGTGGTGGTAGTGGGTGGTAGAGAGCAAGGTGGTTGGCCACATACACGCGCTCAGACGAGGCTTAAATGTACTGTTCCGCGCGCTTTGACTGGCACAATAGGGCGTCACCGTCGATTTGATGTCTCGGCTAAGTCGCTCGGGAATTGCCCTCTGTATATGGGTATGAAGCTGTGGCGTCACCTACGAACCAGTGGGTCACGCTGGTCGCAATGCAAAGCGCAAGAAGGCGCACTGGCTTTCACGCCTCGAGGCTTTGATGAACTGAGGCCCTGGCCGGCGGCGCGTGGCGGTCCACATCCAAGCGTGTACCCGGAACGCGTGGCGCACTCGCAGCTTGGGCCTCAAGTCGCAATCGTCCTGTCAACATGGTGCCCAATATCAGCGCCATCTTCTTCACGACGCGGAGTCCGAAGAGGGCCACTGCTTTGCTATTGTGCACCAGATCCGTCTACCTTTCTTCGAGTCACGTGCTGCTGTGCCTGGTGCTGCAGAGGTCCAAGCCATGCACTCACAAGCCGCAGCCGTCGTCGAGACTTGAGGAGTGCAACTGCCTGCGTAGGGACGCAAATGTCCAGCATCGAACGTTGAATCAACGAAGGTGGGCGATTCGAGGATCGCTCAGACTTGGCAAGTTGGTATGCGCGGTACCTAGCAACTAAGTGCAATCCGGTTAGTATGCATACGGAGTTTCCTGTAAGTCCAAGACGAGCACGAAGAATACCTGCTCACAGGAGAACGGTAACAGTGGCGCTGAATGGTACGACGGTCGAGTTGGAGCGGGTCTGAAAGTGCCCCTTCCGTGCTATATCGTATTGATGGGCGTTTGGAAGACTTAGGTCCTTTGTATCGTGGCCAAGGTTGGGCCAACACTACAAAGCTGCAAGACGACACACCTCTCCTATTTCGGGAGTCGATAACTGGGTCTCGAGCAAGAAAGACGTAGTAGGTGCATGCTACATAGCGAGATGGACGTTTTGTGGACACAGATACAACGCTGAACAGAGTTCTAACTGAAGTTCAACAGGCTCGGAGAGTGAAACTAGGTAAAGCCACACTTTTCGGAGTTGCATTTCAGTCAAGCTGCCAGCCTGCTAGGATCCAAGGCAAATCCACCTTCCTTCTCAACTCCCTGGACATTGAAGCATCTCGACCAGAACACATTGCCATCGCCGACCAACATGTTTTCTGCCTCTGTGCAGCCCAGTGTCGTGTCATTGTTCTCGTCTACGGGCAGTGACCCTCTCGCCCTCTTCTCCTCTCACTGCGACACTTCGTTACCTTCAGATTCCTTCGTCTGCATCCTGAACGATTCCACTTCGGAACCCGCACCACCAGCACCACATACGCTCATCAAGGTCAAAGCTGATGACGACGACGACGACGAGTCTCCGGACTATGCGCTTGGACAGAGCGTACTACATATCCAGTCACCTACGCTGCGGACGACTTATATCCGGTGCCCTCCCGCAGGTCCGAGCTCAGCAACTCAGTCCCGTCGTGCGCCGGAACATCTGGGCCTCAAGCATCCGTGGATGCACCTTCAAGTGCGGAACTTGCACCGCGAATGGGCGTTCGAGGTCGGCCTGGTAGACCAGTCCGGTCGCGAAGGGATTGTACGCTGCGCTACGTTCCAGGTATGTCGTTCTCGCACAGAGTGTGGATTTGTGCGCGTCGTAGAGAATAGTGCCCGCCATCCGCAATGGTCACGTTATGAATTTCCGGCAATTGCTGTATATGCTGCGACGTACATTGAGCGTGATCAACTGGTGACTTGTCGATGTGAATGTGGCCTCTTTGACCGGGTCTGCTCTCCATGCCTCGGAGTCTGGTACGTGTATTCGCTAATCCAGGATCTGATCCTTCCTATATCCTCAGTCACACACCTGCCCTTACATGCTTCATTATCTAGAAAGAACCGAGATTGAAGCTCGGACGCAGCCCCATGTTACTCCTACCCCTCTCATTCCCTCCGCCATCGTCACATCCACTCACGTCATGGTGCACGATCGCAATTCACCTCCCATCGCTCCTGCCACACTTCTCATCCGCTGCCCTCACCCGCAACGACGAAGAGGAGGTTTCCTCGCCAGCGGGACCTAGTCAGTACCAGTATCGTACGACGCAAGTACCAAGTGGGACGTACTCGCACGTCTCGTACGTGAAGGTGTACGCGACGTGCCGCTTGCGTAGGGTTTGGTTCAGCGAAGGAGGTCCGCAACAACGTCTGCCTTGGGAGTTCCAGCTGTACGCAGCCGAATGAAAATAATACTCTTATCTTGGTCACGTCTCTGCAACGCTCAAGATTTCTGCCGCTCAGCGAGGAGATGCACGTCCTGCTCTTGCTCACATCCTCCAGGTCAAAGAGGTCTATACGTGACGCATACACCACTGTAGTCGTCGGTCCAACGTGCGAGCATAGATGGAGCTTTTCGTCACCCATCATTCTACCACCCACAAAGTGAACACACGTAACACGATATGTCAGAATAACTGGTATTGATGGATGTTACACGACG